TATATATTGTGTTCCTTGTTTGGGTTCGTTATCTATAAAAACCCTCTTTTTTCCTCTTCAATAAATTAGATGTCACTGCAAATAGAATTCGAAAAATCTGGTACATAACAAAAACATATTCTGGCAACATTGTACCAAATCAAACAAACTGTCATTCCGTCTACCTGTGGATCGTTTATATCACAAAGCACGTATCTTCTAGAGACCCCACGCCAATGTTAAACTTTTAAACCAAATTGGCGCCACCTTGTGTTTGGAGCTGGAACTAAAATGACAATTGACAGATGGCGGTAAATTCAAATTGTAATTTTTAGGAGTAGGTAGTAGTTTTAAATTAAATTTTAAATGATTTCCACATAAATTATTTTATAAAATAAAGAATGGAACTAGTAAGTTCGAAACTTTTATTTTACAAAATAATTTAGGTCGATTATACCAAATTTGAGGAATGAATTTGTTATAAGCAGGGGTCTGATGTGAAGAGTTGGTTCTGCATATTATTATTAAATAAATATAAGATATATCAATAAACAATAAAATAGAACATTCTTAAAATATGTTTATTAATAACTTAAATAATATTATTAGATAAAAATAAATACAAATAATAATACATATTTAACGAATACTTACTTGCAGCAAATAGGTATATAATCTCAAATCTTTAAAATACCTATCAATAATTTAAATGTGAAGTAGAGACTAGGATATTACATTTTATTAACACTAAAATAATATATTTTATAAATGTCTTTTAAACCGAGGACAAATGTAATATAGGTATTGTATTAAAAGGTGAATCCTTTTAACTATTCATTCAATGATAAATAGGTATTTTCCTTCCAAATAGATGGTGGTATTACTCCACTGCTTTGTGTATTACTCTCTTATGTGAAAAATGATTTCGGAATCTAGTCCAGTGATAAATTGATTATCAATTAGTTGTTATACCCGTTTCTTTTTATGATGCAGATGCATGGTGAATCAATGAAGTTTTTCTCGAAGTTTTCAACGTAGCACACCCACAGGTAGCACCAAAATTATTGCAAAACACAGTAGGTTATAACTAAGACGAAACTATAAACAGAAACCAAAAGCCAAAGCCAACAAAAAATCACTAAAATCAGACGGAAAAATGAGATTAACCAAAAACATAAATAAATACACGTCACATCTTTGGAGTCTTTGGTTAAGTTTTTCTCCCATAAAGCTTAAAAATGGAGTAAGAAATCAGAATTTTACCAGTAGCCCCATCTAGAGTTTGGAGCAAATAGCATAAAAAATGTCAATTGTCGGTTTTGACCTTGGTCATTCACGTGGAACCTCTATGTGCTTTGTGGTTTATATCGTGCGAATTTAGAGATGAGTAGTAATCCGTAAATGTACCTACTTAACACTTACAGATTTGCTAATATCCATGTCTAAATTCCAGTGTGACACCGGCACCACTTGGAACTTTAGAGACGTTGTAACCGAACTTTGATTTTAGTTCAAGGACGACTTAGCCAACTCCGACTCAGCTGAGTTCTGTTTATAAATATGAACCTGAATATATTTGTATCCTTGTTTACCGATATATAAAAGAAGAAAGTGAGAATACACTCAGTGAGACACGAGATCCCTTTACAAATTATACTTTTTATGGATTTTTGTGTTTCGTGAACAGAATTTTCGTTGTTTTGAGGTTGGCTGTACTGGTCTTAGGTTCTGTGTGAATTTACTAGTGCTTATGTACGATGGAATCGTATTTGGTAAAATTTATAAAAACAAATAGACATAATTTCGAAAATCGAGTGCTTACAAAAAAGAATGGCCCACCTCAATCGGAGATAAACATTGTTCAAGAATGTGCCATAAGAAATAGAAAGTTTAAACATCCTTTTAAGATTGAACAATATAAAAAAACTTCGTGGTTATGCGGGTGTGATAAACAACATGCTTTGTTTTGTTTTCCTTGTTTAGTTTTTGCAAACAATGAAAATACTAAATCAGAAAGGACAAAAACGGGTATTAGGGAATTATCTCATATTAGGTAAGCATGATTTTGCATTATTTCTATAATTTAAACTTGATGTTTCTTTCTTACACTGTATTAATCGAGGAATTAATATTTTAAATTATAACGAGCCACCACTACCTTTAATTAAAAAAATCTAATTAAATATGGGGGATTTAAGGGGGGTTGAAATTAAAATTAAAAACAAAAAATCAAAAATGAAAAGCGATATCAACATTTTTAGTAAAAATCAAGCCCTATAAGGAGATGAGGTATTAATTGTGAAAACAATCTGGTAGAAAATGGGTAGTTAAGGGAGTCTGTTAAACTGCGAAAAGTATCATTTAGAATGCCTGGCATTATATATCTTTTTTCTAGTTTGTATTTGTGTAATAGTATGTATTGTGATGGGACTGATCTCATAAAATAAACATTTAAAACATTTTAGTTTTTATTTTATTTAAAAGTTATTATTTTAAAAGGTATTTAAAAAATATATTTTTTATTTGACATGTGTGACAAAATGTGAAAATGATTAAATTTACAATAAAAACTGAAAAATGGTAGGTAAAGTTTCATATAATATTTTTTACACAAAAATCTACATAACCTTATATATATATTTAAAAATAATCTCAAATTATGAAGAAAAGTTAGTTAACTAATAATGTTTATAGGTGGTTTTCAATGAATTAAAAACAAAACAAATATCACACTAACTAAAATTTTCATTTATTAATAGTTAAAGTGCTTGAAAATAGTATGATGTTGATAATAACTACATTTAATACAAACTCAAATAATAATAAAAACAGCGATATTGGCTCTTTTACAAAGTTTTGGGCCGAACTTACAAAAATGATCAAATTATTGGAAAAAGTGAACACCCAATTCAAATTACCACGAGCCGCCACTGGTTACAAAGTAAAGGTTACCTGGAGGGTTATACAAAAACATAATGGCAATTTTTTGTACTTACCCAAAAATCCATTATCTCAACCGATAATGAATTTCTGACCTACACTTAAGTATAAAAAATGTTTTGTTAAGTTTTTGTATTATATTATTTTGTAACCCATATTTTTAGGCATGATAATGGCCCATACAGGCCGAAACTACGAGCACAGAATCATATTTGGCCCATTCAATATTTTTAATTTTATTTTAGACAACTGTGCATATCTCTAATTTTCTAATATTAATTTTAATAAAAAAGTGTCGATAAACATGTTTCAAATTATAATAAAAAAGATAATATTGAGTGGGCCAAATGATATGATTCTGGGCTCGTACTCTATTAAAAAAAATTAATAATGCTTTTCCTATGAAAACACTAAAAAACAAACCCAAAAAGCCTTGGATAACTAAAGGGATTAAGACTTAAAAAACTATTCAGGTGGCCGTGGTTCTATCTTAAATTATTACTTGAAATATCGTGCAATTTATAGGAAAACGATTAAAGCAGCTAAAAAATAATTATACTTTAAAAAAATAATAAACGAGGCAGGCAATAAACAAAGAGAGATCTGGAAAATAATAAATTACTCAAGAGGCAAAAGGTCTTAGTCACCAATTTAAGCCCTACCGAAATCAACGATTTTTATTGTTCTGTTGGTCCAAGTCTGTCCACTCAAATAACTCCTTCGACTGATGGATGCTTTGTCTTATTTAAATAATCTTAATATTAACGATTCATTTTATTTTATACCAACTGATGTAGAAATTAAGGATATCCTCTCTTCTACCACAAAAAAGAATTCCTCAGGTTGAGATGAAATTTCAGTTAATCGTCTTTCATCTCTTCCAGAAGATGCTTTAAATGTTTTAGCAGAAACAATCAATCATTCATTTTGGACAGGTTCTTTCAGTGAGTAAAGCCTAGAGACCTTGAGCAGCGACGAATTCACGCAATTTGGGTATTAGCTCAGCAGGAAATCGATATTAGACTAGTAGTGAAAAAAGATGGAAACTTACTTTTTTAAATAAGATTTAACAAGTAGCCTGCATTTAATATTTAAACAGTCGATAGTTTTGTTATGCAAGAATTGTTTATTTAAGTAAATAATTTTTCTTTTTTAAGGTAGTTCACTCGTAAAACGGCTTTTCTTAAGAATTCAATAAAATTTAAATATAAGGTTTAAGAAAGTGTCGTTTACGTAACTAAAAAAAAAATTAGATTTTTTGACCGTCTGTGAAACGAGATATTAACAATAAAAATGTGCATAATTAACACTCTTGAAGCCTATCATGTACACCAGCAATGCATTTATTTCAAGATATCTTGAAAACGGTTCTCAACATATTTTTTAAAAACTAATGTTAAATAAATCAAGAAGTTATCAAATTTTATAGATAATCGCTGAATTTTTCGACCGTCTTACTAAAAAGATATAGATTTTTAAAATAAAAATATTTTTATTCAGTTGAGGAGTAGTTTCGTAAAATTATTACAACTTGGCAACATTGTAGCCACTTCACGTATCAAAGTAACACTCGATCAGCTAAGAGGTTGTTATAAACTCGCTACGTGTTCTTGAAAAAATAATTCGTCCACTGTGTTTGAGAACTGGAATCAGCGGTTCTGTTTGAACCAAAACAAACCCTTAAAATTAGTATGAGGAAGTCACAAATTTCTATACCATATCGTTTAAATATTTGCAAGTTTGCCGGATGAAATTGATTAAAATTATAACTTGTTCATATGTGTTTATATACATGTGTTTTGTACAGTCTCTTACAAAAATAAAATTGATTAGCATTGAGAATCTCGAACTTCTGCTATTCACCATTACGCGATATTTTTATGTACGACTGTCGCGAGTGAACTACCTTAAAGTATGAATTAATTAGAAAGGTCAGAATTAAATCAAAGAGTCGATTTTTTCCTTTTTTTATAAAAGCCATTTTATTCCAAACCAGGGCTGAACAACTTTGGATAATGGCCTGTTGGGTACCAAATTAATAAAAACTAGTTTATTATTATACAAAATTTAATTAAACTTACGAAGCAAACTGTCGACGCTGAGCATCTAAGTTCTTCTTTTTCTCAATGTTTTTCTTTTCTCCGACTTTTTCGGCTAAGGCAAAAGCTAATTGTTCCCTCCTAGGTGGTTCAGAAATTTTAAATGTTGGTCCTTGTGATCTATAAGCAAAATTATACTTTATGAGTTATTTAGTAATAGAGGTTTAATAAATTATTTTCGCACAAATATTTAACTATATATTTTTACCTTAGTTATCATTAACTGATATTGATTATTTTTTTACAATTAAGTTGAATAAAAATTATTTTTCATTTGTTTTAGAGTATGATTCGATATTAAGTTAAATAATGGGTATGTAGTTTGAAATAACCACTTGGCTAGACATTCTTAAAAACCTGGTTAAATTAAGAGACTGGATTGACTGAAAAATAGTGACTCAAACAACAATCTACTAACCGGTATGTTCATAGAATTATTGTTAATTGTAACTAAACAAGGTTTCCACTCTCAAAAGAAAAATAGCTAAACTATGAGTAAAAATATCTCCTTTATATATTAATTCATTTAAAAAATATATTTTTATTGTTTTGCAAATTAAAACATTCATAAATGCAGGGTGTCCCAAAAAAATAGGCCAATCCGTTAACCCTAGATTCGTTAGATCAGTGAATGTTATGTTGATAATGGGGTGTTAATACACTGCGACCTAAAAGATCTATTGTGCCCCCTTCTGTCGCCACTGCACTAAGGAAATGTCTCAATGCCTATAGCGACCCTTCCAATCCTATTTTCTCAAGGAAGTGTAGGATTTGAAGTGGCTTCAAGTTAGGTAAGTCTCCCTCTTCTATTTGATATCCTCCTAGATATAGTGCCCTTGGATTCTGGAGTGCTACACATTCAGTTAGGATGTGAATGGAGGTTTCGTCCTCCTCCTCACAGAATCTGCACTCACTATCCTCTACTACTCTCAGTTTACTTAGGTGTCCTTTTAGTCGGCAGTGCCCGGTAAGGATCCCTGTTACAATACGTAGCCTGTTCTTGCTCAGGCAGATGCAGGCTTCCGATCTTTTTTGGTTATATTCACCCAGAAGTATCTTGGCCTGTCTCAGCCCCAAGAGATTGTTCCAATTATCGGTTCTTCTACTACCCAATTCTTTTTTAATCTCTTCTAATATATATAATAGATCAGTGAAAGAAACCTTTATTATTTTTTTTTTCGATTGGGGTCATGTTCACTATCTTTCTCTGTATCTCTAACTTGTGGAGGGTGGGTTACCCCAAGGTATTTAAGCTTCACTAGGCCCATTTTGTATCCTCCTAAGGTGATAGGTACCTCCTAGCTCATCAGCCAGCCTACAGATTTAATGTAGTTGACAACGTCGCCAAGAGGTGCTTCTCTTATATCGACCGATGTTAGTCGATACTCACCAAACACAAATATTCTAATAAATCAGAGAGTAGAGAGTCGAGCAATCGTAGAGGATATGCTCAATGGTCTCATCTTCTTTTTCGCACCCCCTACAAAGTGCGGATTCGGATAATCCCATGACATAGAGATGATTCCGAACTTGGCAATGACCAGTCAGAATGCCTGTGACCAAGCGCAGATTCTGTCTAGTCATAATCAAGTATTTGTTTGCTGTAGTGTTGTCAGGATAACTTAAAAGCTCCCTGGCAACTCTACAGTTTCTTGTTTCATCCCAACAGTCCTCGAATTTCACAAGGGAATGTTCTTTAATTAGGTCTGTCACTGCCGATTTTATCAAGCCAATAGAAGGGACAGGTCCAAACAGTATTTGGTTGGCTGCTTTTTTGGCCAGTGAATCAGAAAGACGATTACCTTTCGATGTGGCATGACCTTTATCTATCTTAAGGTTACCACATTGTTGATGGATACTTAGGCCAAAGCTTCGTAACATTCTAGTACTAATCCTGCAACTAGCGCCCTCTATGAAGTAGGTGATATTTAGGCTCATATTATTAGTCATCTAAAAAAATTCCGGTGTATTAATTTTAGGCCATCTACTTTAATAAAACGACGAAAATATAATAAAAAACGTATTTCTTTAAATAAACTTTGTCACCCTGTATACTATTAATAACTGTTCCTAATTCACACCCTTACGAATGAATTTCAATCCCTGAAGTCGACTTAGCGACTATTATAGGGGAAGGGACGGTCTTATTATTTGTAGTGGCGCTTCGGGGCGACTTGAAGGGCGAAGATGATTGATGGCGCCATTTTACTTACAGGTGAGGAAAACCATACCCACCATAATATTGAACATGATGGCCCCAATCAAAAAAATAATAAATATTTCTTACACTGACCTAAGGTATTTGTGGTTAACAGATTTGCCTACATTTTTGGGACACCCTGTATAGTATTTGGCAAATAGTAGTTATTTTAGTCTAAAAACACAAAATTTACCTTGGAATTGGGGTATCACTTCCATCTAGCCTGAAAGGCGTTCCTTCAATTTCTCCCCAAGTCATCAATGGAGTTCCTAATATACTTGGTGAAGGAGATGGTTCTCTTATCAAGCTATATCCTCCAATCTGAGGTGTGTCCTGTTTCAGAAGTTCTTTGCCATCTACTCCTATTTTACCATCTAATACCTGACAACATAAAAATTATTTAAAACACTTACTAAAAAAAATTGAAGAGTTTGATGATTTTTTCATGGACCTCATCATCATATCTTGACCAAATTTATATGGTATCACTTCTGAGGTACCTCTCTTCCACTAAAAAAAAATAATAGAAATCTGACAACGTGGTAAAGAATATGTAAGTCTGCTTTCTAATAGGTAACCACTCCATTCAGCATTAAAGATATCGATTTACGAAAGTTACTATTAATATAGTGAACCTAATAAAAAAAAAACAGTAAATTGTCATTAAAAATGATTTCATTGTTTTTCAAAATATTTTCCATTATGATGTATGCTCAAACCACTTGTCAAATTTTTTTTCATTGTTCTTGAGATACCTCTAAAAATGGATTTCTGAATGCATAAATGGCTTGTTCTGCTGACGCAAAAAATCAGATGTGTACAACAATATTCGAAATAAGGTTGTAAAATAATTTCGGAAATTTCCTAAAATTGATTTTATATGACTTCGCCGAAAATCCCCCTTAATTTTATAAGATAACCTTTTTTTGGACTCTTCCCTCCTCGTCTTTTGATCCACAAGCTGCTGCATTTATATTTTTGAGCGACAAATTGATTTCAGTGATTATTTCGATGATTATTTTAGAAATTTCAAGAAAATTTTTAGTGATTTCAGCGGTTTCGAGTGAATAAATTCACCAGCCTTTCTGGAGTGGTCTCCCTTGTAAGTAAGTATTATACCCTTGCTTTTATCAACATTAAGTTTTAATTTATTAATTATTATTAATATTATTATTCAATGAATTATTAAATTTTTGAATTCCTACTTCTACATTTTTATCATTAACTGATACTAGAACGTTATCAGCAAAAAGATTTTTATAATCTCATTTATTACAATTTTTGACATAATTAACATATATTAAGAACAACAATGGGCCTGTAATACTTCCCTGAGGAACTCCATGTACTATGTCAAATGCTGTTGAAACATAATCATTAATTTTAATCTTGTTTTGTCTGTAACGTAATCACTGATCCAATCGTATTCTTACACAATTGATAATTTGAAACATGCATTTAAGTCTAAAAATACCACTATAATAAACATGTCTTTATTAATCCTATTTTTCCATTCAGTAATATTAAATTAAAGTGCTGTTATACAAGAATGGTTGAATCTAAAACTAGATTTGTTACTGAAGAGTATTTTTTTATTACATTATTCCAACAACTCTTGATAAACTAACTTTAACAGTTTTTTAGCACAAGGTTAAATAATAAATGGTCAGTATTCATCGCCTTTCTTTGTTTTAGATACTTTTCAATAGGTGTGTAACAATAATAATTTGAAAATTATCTGGAAATGTACAATTTTCCAAAAAGGAATTCATAAAATGATACCAGAATTTTTCAATTACTACAAAGCTGCTCTTTATAATTTTACTACAAAGTGCATCAACTTGTGGCCATTTGTTTGCTAAATTTCTATTACTCGTTGATGAATGTGTATTCAAATGTCGCTAAAACCATCTTCATCATAATAATCAATGTGACAGGTAAATTCCATATCTTCTACATTTTCCTCCTATTTTGAAGTCTGTTAAAGAATATTCAATTTTGTAGTAGTTTGTTTCATGCTATAGGCAACCAGTATAACACAATTGTATTAAGAGTTGCATAACCTTTCAGGGATCAGATTAAATGACAAATCAATTGAGGCATGTTTTGCAAAAACCCATATTTCAGTTTTTCCTGAATTTTATATTATAACATTATGGATACATAAGTATCTATGTCCCTTGCGTAAAACAAAATCGAAAAATCCCCGGTAGTCCAAGATATGAATGGTTAAAATATCGACCACTCTGCATAAACCCAATATGTCAACAGCAGTTTTCATCAAAAATCACAAAAGGTCAATTTAATGGAGTTTATGCAAATAATGCCTCAATTGTTGTCAAACTATATTACTTACTTTTGCTTGTGTTTTAGCCAATTCATTGATAGTTTCCTTACTCTGAACTTCATTAAAGGGATTCACATGTAACCTAGTATTACCATGAACTATTTCTTGTCTCCTTTTGTTAATTTCCAAAATGTCCTCTGCACTTAGCTCAACCCCATCAGGTATATACATGATGTAGTTCCGATTTTTATAACCCCAGGTATCTAGACCAAATTTTTTTTCAACTGGTAGGGCTTGCTGTTCTATCGAAGGTAAGGCCAGTATTTTTTTCTGGTAATCATCACTTTTATCTTCTTCATTAAACAAATAAGAGTATTTTTCTTGACGTTTTTTCTCAGACTCCTCTAATAGTTCTTCAAAACTTTCATTATCTTGAGAGGTGTGAGAATTTAGGTATTGGTCCAGGCTAAGTTTGTTTTCTTTGGGCTTTTCCAGCTTATCTATGTCTATTGGTACATCCGCAGGGGGATCGTTTTGGTGCTGGGAGTTGTGAATGTTGGCTGGCGTTTCAAAAGTTGCTGGACTTGGTACTAAAATAGTTAAAAATTATTTGTTTATTGAACAACATTCGGGAAATTACCATTACAATAAAAAATGTACAAAAATCATTTAAAAGATAATACATCAATTTAAAAATAAACAAACCCCAACACTTAAGTCAGTCACTTAAGAAATTTTTATTAATATCAAATACTTATCAATAAAACATCAAAAACATATCAATAACAATATTAATGAACACATTCAAAATATCAAGAGAGTATATTTCTTGCAGCTTTTCTAAAGCTATTGAAAGACGTACACAGAATATTATCTAAATATAATGAATTTACACTTCTTTGCATTCTTGTTAGAGGACTAAATAAACCATAATTAATTCTGTAAAATGGAATAAATCATTCTGACGAGTATATCTTACTGGTACTCTTAATAGATCCAGAAATACTTGAGTCAAAAATAATAAATTTACTGTACACCCTTGAAATTCTATACATTCAAGATCCATTAAGTTTAATAAAACATTAAAATCATAGTTGACAAATACTAAACTTAATCTGAATGTACAATATCTCAGAAATTGTTGAACACTCTAATGACGGAATGTACATCATAAAATGGATACCAAACTGGCAACACATATTCCAATATTGACATAAGCTGAGTAAACTGTTTTAATTGAATTCAATGGCAGGTTGTTTGAGTTCCTTAAGACAAAACCTAAAGTTCTGAAATCTTTATTTATTGCATGAGTGGTATGAGAAACAAACAATAGATGTTGATCTAGGAGCAGCCCTAACTAAATCTTATATTTCATTGACATGATTAAGAGTTTAATCTGCCATTGAGTAATCAAATACAATCTTGACATGTCCTCTGCGAAAAGTAATGGTGTGATACTTGTTGATATTAAGTGACATACAATTTTTCACAGACCAATCATGCAGTGCATTAATATCAATTTGGTCATAAGTAAAATGTAAAAAATTACTGTATTGGAAAATATCTTCAATATTATTAATAAATGAGTAGATAGAAAAATAATGGTCCCAAATGGGAACCTTGTGGAGCCCCTGAAATATCTATGAAGCGAAGTTGGAAAAGCATCAGAAAAACAAAGCATTTTTAATTTAAATAGCAATAAAGTGTGATTAACATGGTCAAAAGCTTTATTAAAGTCAGAACATATTGTGTCAATTGCATATTTTTATAAATAGGTATATAAATTAACTGTAGATCGAGGGGTAAACTACTAAAGTCAAAAAGAACACATATATTGAAAATCACCTAAAATTCATATGATCCTCCTTAAATTTAGACAATTTCTGCGATTTTGCTGAAATAACTTTTAATTTTATACAATTTTGGTGAAATCATTGTATAAAATTTCTTATGATTTCCCTTAAATTGTCTTCAAATTACCTTTTTTTTGTAACCTCTAAATTTCTTCACTTGAAATTTGATTGGACCTTCTTTTTTCCTTGTGTTTTGATCCAGAAGCTGCTGTGTTTATAGTTCTAAGCAACAAATAGATTTCGGTGATGATTTTGACCATGATTTTTATGACGATTTCGAAAATTTTGAGAGTTTGTAGTGATTTCAAGTGAAAATGTACATGTATTAAAGGAGTAGTTTACCCCTCATAGTTAATCTATCTGCAGTAAAACCTTGTTATTGTGTTATTGATCAATATTTATGTTAACATGGATATACATTACCCCCACAAATTATCTGCAAGACTTAATTTGGATGCTTTCATAACCTAAACTGTTTTAATAGTACTTTTTTTATAAAATTTATACCTCTCTCTGAAAGACGTTGGCTACCGCTATATTTCGCATACAGTTCTTTTAATTTCAGAGTATCATTTGATTCTAAAGCATCTAAGTATGCATTTTGGGCTTTCAATTTCTCCAAGTCTGGGAAAAAATCTCTTTGTATAATTTTGCCAATTTCCTAAAATTAGTCAAGATTAGAGTGAATATTAATCTAAATACAGAAAAAGTATATAAGCAGGATTTAAATTAATATTTACCTACCTCTACATAAGTTTCTTCTACAAGTATTCTCTTCTTTGTTCGTTTTCTAACAATTCCAGTTGGTTTTTTAAATACTAAGTCCTTGTGTAGCATTTCCATTGTTTGTAAGGCTTGTGAGCCAGGGGAATTTCCTGTAATATCGCTCATAATTAAGTCGTGAACAAATTTAATTTCTATTTACGTTTTAATTATGAAAATACGAAAGCAATTTTGAGGTTAATTTGACTTTTTTAAGACAGATGACAGATGTCATTTTCGTCGTCTTCTTCTTCTTCTTCAACAAAAAACGTACTACTAAGTTAGGACTTGGATAAGGAAGTGAAAATGGAAAAGTAACAGGTCCGTATGCAAAAATTGTTAGATAATAAATATTTTAAACATAATATAGATCAGAGGTTCCCAACCTATTTTGGACCTCGGCCTCCTTTAAAAGAAATGGTTGAGACTGGTGGAATTTTAACGAATTGTTAATGACGGGTTCCAATGTTAATATCGGGTTCCAGTTTCGTTGACATCAATACCAAAAATCGCCCCACATTTAGTGATATATGTAGTCTGTTCCTCTTCATTGACAGTAAATTAGCTACTGCCGTGAAACCACGCTCAGCCAGATAGGATGAAGGAAATGCGATTAAAAACTTCTGTAAATAAGTCAAGAATTGAGTCAAATAGATTGGAAAAACGATTCTGACAAACAACTTTAAAGAGCCAACGTCCTTCAGTGTGCAGCACTAAGCGATTGTAATCTTCATCATTTTCACTACAAAGCTGACCAAATAATCGGTCATTCAATGAATTGCTTCTAATCTTATTGACCGCTCTAATAACGTATAATGAAGGGACGTATGCCGACGTTCATTTAAATGTTTTGCAACTAAATGCTGACGATGAATAATACAATGTACAGCGAGTACATTTAATAGTACTGATTCGCTATGAAATCCTTAAGGTAAGCGCGCATTTGTACGTATCGGACGGAACGGACGCATCGGACGAATCGTACCATTTTTTTTTAGACAGCGCACATTTATGCGGATCGGCTTTCCGCATTTGGAAAATTTTATCCTTTGTTTGGAGATTTAATGCTGGAGGAGGTAACGTTTTTTCAGCTGTACCGAATGACGCAATGAAAAATTTTGTGATCTTTTATATATATTTCGTTCGTCTATAGAGCAAATTGTAGTACCTTTCGGGAATAAATCAGGTTGAAAGCCCAAAATAAAGTGAGGTATAAAATAAGTTAATTATAATGAATACGATTAATCCGAAACGATTCTTGTTGCGACCCATCGCGTACGTATTTGAATTTCCGAATGTCATCCGGCCGTAGGCATCGCCTTGACAGATTTAGTTCCGGTTCAAGAACCCATAACGGATTTCCGTCTATGCGATACGAATCAATGTGCGTTGACTACTTTAAAGTAATGGAAAATATTCTATTCTCCAAATCCGTATGGCCATGCGTCCGTCCGATGCATCCGTCCGATACGTACAAATGCGCACCTACCTTTATGATATCCTGCCATTGCTGGAGCACCATCAGTAGCTGCTGACAAACTATTGCAAATAGAGATTTCTTTCTCTTAAATTTTTCGCGCCTTGTTTCAATTTTCAAATTTTTAGCAAATAATAACTATTGATAAATGTTTTCTTCTTTTATAAATCGAACGTATGATAAGGTTAGAGCTTCGTTATTTGGTAGAGTTGAATGAAAAATTTGCACGTTTTTAAGTGTTCACATAATGATATTTCAATATATTTTGTCATTTCATCTATTCTTCTTTGCACTGAATTATTATCGAAGGGATTTTTTTTTTGGATAATATCTGACGGTGTTTTATGATGAAGAACAGCTTTTATTACCTCTTTGACTGCCGGCAAAATTAATTCCTCACCAATTGTACGTGGTTTTCCAACTTTTGCGATTAACAATTAAATGTTATATGAGGCTCGTAGTCCATTAGAAGAAAATGCAAAAAGGTTTAATACATTCTGCTGTTTTAAATATTGCTTTTCCAGTCTTTGAAAATAGGATAAATGTTTATTCTTATCAGCTTGTATTTTAGTTTAATGCTCTTGTAGCCTAGAAGGTTTGATAGCTTCATTTGAAAAAACTTTTAGGCAAATTAAGCACATAGGCAATGACTGGTGTGTAGAAGAGTACGTAAATCCATATTTTAAATACTTGTCGGCATTTATTTTTCGACGTTGATTCAGACATTTTGAAATTTCTTAACAGATCTACAGATAGTTATAGAAATAATATCTCACGACTATTTAGCACAATAAAATAACTTTATGCACGTATTAACTTGTATGTTTGCGATGCCGGCGTACTTGCTCTATAAACAAGTCATTTCAAGTTTCCGCATTCTTGTTATTGTTGGATTGCATAAAATGCGTATTTGCGTGAATGTTTTCACCAATAAGATAATTTGCTTAGCTAGATAAAATATTTATTCATGAAAACAGGTATTGTATTTTATTGTATTAATTTCCTATACACCCTATAGGCACACAATATTTCAATATATTATTTTAAAAATAATTTTTTTTAATATTTCTAAAAGATTTATTTCAAATATTTATTAACTAAAATTTATAAACATTTTTTTTTTAATTGAAAAATATATATTTTTATATTTTGTTGTAATAAAGATAGGCATCACCCCTCTTGATTGCCTTAACGCTCCCATCGCCTCTGGATCCGCTACCGCCGCCATAGAAAGTTCCAGCGCCCACCGATGGCGGTATCGCTCCCGTTGGGGCCCAATGAATAGATAATTCGTTTATTGTTATATCGTTTTTCCGATAAAACAATGACACAAATGCAAAATTATAAATTTTTCAGGAGAGACGAAAAACGAACATTATTAATTCCAAATTTGGGCACATTAATCACAAACAACTTGCCCTAAATAGCAAATACGTTATTTAATCTCCGATTAAGTAACGTCTCCCGTAAAGTTTTAGACACAACTTATTCATGTGTCAATTGTTTTTCCAAAAGTGAAGGGACAGACGTTAATATTTTAAAACTGACGCAACTACATCTAGCATTCGCGAGTGGATATAAAATTACGCCATGTTAGTCACAATATAATAATCATAATTTTGCACTTGCGTCATTGTTTTACCGGAACAACGATATTATTATTAGTTATTTTAAATTCTTGATTGTTTTGGCATTTATTTGATGAAAATCTACCTATATTCTTAAAATAAAAGAAACCAAACTTTGTAGATTTAAAAACCTGATAATAAAGGTTGTATAAATATCTATTGCACTCTCATGTTCCGGTAAATAAATAATTAAAACAATGTAATTACGCTGAATTATTTATTAAAAAGAATACTACACTTACAGTCCATTATCGATTAATTATTGTTAATCTATTCATGACAAATATTTTTTAATTTTTGATCGTTATTTGTAACTTTAATAATTTTGTTATTTTCCAAACCAATGGCCAACGGTGTTTTATTTAAAAATCATATGTGTCCAACACATGACTTTTCTGTCTAGTTATTACAGGCTCCGTCAAATATTTCGCTTTGCAAAAAGGTTCTGTCGCCAAAAAAGTTTGAGAAACACTGATCTAGAGGATAACACAATCATGAACTCAAAATTTAAAAATCAAATTTAGGATTCTATATACATACGAGTATAAAAAAATTGACATATACTACTTAAGTTGGAACCATATGGAAAACATTTTTATTATTGATTTTAGGAAAAAAAGTTATTCCTGATAAAAAGTCCTGCATGACCCAAAACCTAAAATACAGTCATCACATATCAAATTTTTCATGCCGTATACGAGGTTTGTCAAAAAATATGAATTTTGCTCAAGAGTAAAGTACGTTTATTTTTGACAAAATCGAAAATTTTCATTAAGAAAAGTTGATTAGAATTGAATATTACATTCAAATATGCAATTACACCGATCTATCTGAAAAAACAGATTTTCTTATTTTTTATAAACTCTACACTCTACACATTGATTGTAAATATCTGAAAACGTTATAAATTACGTTAGCTACTATAAACATGATACGCTTTCCTTTTGTTGATGTTTGTGAAGAATTTAGCAAATTTCTTAATGAAAATTTTCGATTTTGTAAAAAAATAAACGTACTTTACTCTTAAGCAAAATTCATATTTTTTGACAAACCTCGTATACGGCTTGAAAAATTTGATATCTGATGACTGTATTTTAAGTTTTGGGTCATGCAGGACTTTTTATCAAGAATAACTTTTTTTCCTAAAATCAATAATAAAAATGTTTTCCATATGGTTTCAACTTAAGTAGACACACTGTATATTTGCAAACTGTCCACGTTTACTACTACTGTCTACAAACGACGTGTACCTTTAATTAATATCTAAGACGCATCAGGGCCGGCCCTAGACATTTTGGCGCTTCGGGCAAAACCTTAATTTTGTGCCCCCCCGTTTTTTTAAGTAAATCTCATGCGACCATATCAGAAAGTCAAGAAAACACTGAAAAAAAAAAAAAACGTTTTAATAAAAACTCAATCATCAGATAACAAGATAAGCAGATAGGCAAAATAACAAAAATTAAAATGTAGTAATGCTAACTAAAATAATATCCCATAAATATTATAAATAAATTCTAACTAACCAAAGTAATTAAAATGCCCTTTTTCTAACTTTTCTTTCGGCAAACTCACGAACCAGTGCTTTCAAGTCTAATTTGTCACTAATTTGGTGTTCTATAGCTATCATTGCCAATCCATTGAGACGATTTTGCGACTGCATCTTTCTGAGATAATTTTTTATTAATGTTAGTTTTGAAAAGCTTTTTTCCCTGAAGTCACAGTGACTGGCAATGTAAGTGGGATTCTTAATGCTATGCTGAGGTTTGGTACTAATTTAAGAGTAGCGATAAACTTGAGAACTTCAACAGGAGTTTTCTTTTTTGTTAATAATGACGAAACAATGCTTATTTCATCGGCTAGTTCCAGGGCATTAAGATTGCTTCAATTTCCATCAAATCCAAATCTTTGCAATGAGCCAGTAAGCTCATTTCTGGGCATGTCTTTTATACCAAAAATATTATACAAAAAGCTGAAATAATTACTGTGAGTATTTAGCAAATTATATCTGGTTTCCAAGGCATTTATTGCTTGATCTATAGTGTAAAAAAAAATCTATTTTATATTTTTGTTTGAGGTCTTGAACTGGTTCATCCGGGCCCTCATACAAAACGTTCTTGTTTTGCTTCTGATACGATGACGTGGTGTG